TAGAGAAAACAATTCTAATATATATATATATATATTCTCTTTATTTATATTTATATAAATATTTATTTTTTATTTAAACAGTTGTATTTTTATTTTTGCATTACAGTAATGTGAGTTTATCATGATGAAAATAATGTCCGAGTCAAAAAAATCGTCTTTAAAAACAAATATAATTTTATTAATGCTACATTTATTATATATTTGTTATTACTGTGATTGCGAGGTGAACTATGACCCGGACAGGTTCGTGAGATTCATATCTGTGTGGGGTTCTTGAGTTTTATGGTTCTGTAGAAATGTTCTTGATGATTTCTTTACAGGTGTTGCAAGTGTTTTGGTTTCTGGTTTGTTTCAGGCACCAGAACAGATTTTCTGAGGCCTCTTCTGTAAAACCTTCTGGTTTCTAAGAGGAATCTGTAGTTTTCCAGAGTGTTTTGGTTCTCCGGCTCGCGGTGTCAGTCGAGTTCAGTCTCACAGAATGCTTTATGGAGCCGTCTCTGCTCACTGAAGCTCGTCTTTGTGTTCGCTCTCGCTCCGGTCGCTTCGTTTGAGCGCGAGGTGGAGATCCGAGCCCTGCTTGAAGGACAGTTCCTGGCCAAACGAGTTCATGCTGAAAAACTGGGCTACGAGATCCGTGAGTGTCTGGTGTTCTCACAGAGTCTGTCTCAGTCATTAGTCCTCATAGAGTCATCTCGATCACTTCAGTATGAGTTTGTGTTGTGTGTGAATACTCCGGTGGCTGCGTGCCGTTGGTGTCTTTCTAGGGCGTATCTGACGCTCGGCTGTGTCTCATTTCTCGTGCTCTGATGAAGCGGGACAAACACGCTTTAACCCTCATCCGTCCCTCCCGAACCTATAACAAAAGTGTCCCTCGCGGGTCAAAATGACCCGAAGGCCAAAAATTACACTAATTTTATTTTTGGTCCAGAAAGTTTATATTGATCCATTTTTATTTATTTTTTTCAAATTTTTTATGTAGTTTTTTTTGGTGATTTTTATTTTATTCACATTAAATTCTGGATATTTTTTATGAAAATGAGCATATTTTTATACACATTTTCACCAAAAAACAAAAAAAACAAAGAAAGACACAATTTATGCATATTTATACTTTAAACATGATGATCCATCAGGACCTTGCATTTGGGGACATTCTGCAGTCTCAGCCCTTTGTTTGGGTATGCATCTTTTCTGGATTGTGTCAGATTTTATATAGTAAAAAAAGTGTGTGTGTGTGTGTGTGCATGAGGAGCAACAAGCCTCATGAATATTTAATGAATGCAAATGAGGCTGATCTTAATCATTCCGTCAGTATTTTTATGCGGAGGAAATGCAGGAATGCTGGGAAAAAACAGAACCAGAGAGTCTCCAGCTCAAGCCTGCAGTGTTGTGTTGACTGTGTTTTCTGAGCATTGTGTGTGTGTGAATAAATATATATATATATATACATATATATATTTTCTGCCTGATTATCAGGTTTGTTTTATTTTATTAAGATGCTGTTTACTGATCTCAGATGTGTCCCTCATGATGAATTTAACAAGTGCAGTAATTTTATGCTTCGGATCTGCAGTGATTTTCCTTTTTATGTGCCGTTTTATTGCATAACATTTGTTTTTATGCTTCACGCAGCCTGAACTATGCTTTAATTAGCATAACATAATGTTTTATGTCTCATTGCGGCCTGATGGCAGCGTTAACATGTTTGTTGATCGTGCAAACACAT